TATACAAAAACTTGCCCTCACCTCACCGCCTTAAAAAAAATTCTAATTTGATATTCATTCTACCTTGATTATGTCATCCATAGAAATAGATTCAAATACTCATTAGTGCTATTTTTTGTTGGTACTAAAAATAATTGAAAAAACAAGCGAATGGGAAACCAAAGTCATAGAGAGCTGCGTATAGCTGTAATTGGGACCTACGAAAGAGGTTGTATGACCCATTCTTTTTTTTTTTTGGTAAAAATTGTATGACCCATTCTGCTAGACAAAGACACGAGCCAGTGGTCCCTCTTTCCAGACTGCTCCTCCTCCTTGATTAATGTCCTCCACTCTCTCTCCAACTTCCAACTATAAAAACAACACCCCTAGGAAATTTAAGTCCAAGTCCAAGAAAGCATTCCCACAGCAAAAGCATCCCTCTTCTTTTTCTCTCACATTTTTCCTTCTCATTTCATCTCCAAATCTGAAGATTAGGAAGAAGAAAGATGTCAAAGGTTCATCCTGCTGATCACAAGGATTTCCAGGATCTGTTGGTGAAAGAGGTCAAGCTAGAAGGTCCACCATGTACTCTTACAGTGTGGAAAAGATCCAGCATGAGCTTCCAGGGGACTGATGGATTCACTGTTTTTGATCACCATGGAAGATTGGTATTCAGAGTTGATAACTACTCCCGGAAAAATCCTCGTGGTCCGGCCCGAGGGCTGGTCCTCATGGATGGTACAGGCAATGCCTTGCTCACCTTAAAGCCTCAGGTACTTCAAAGTTCGAATTTGAAATCTTTTAAGATTTCATTCTGGTCTTTCTCTCTTTGGTCAATTTTTCGGAGTTTAATATATTAATGGGAATTATTTGGGTTTTTTGAGCAGATAATGAGTATGCAATACCAATGGAATGCATATAGAGGCGATCAAGAAATGACAAGAACAAGAAAAGCTAAAAAATCTAAAGTGTTCTCAATGAGAACTCCCTCAGTGCTCTTCCAGAGCCGCCGCAAGGATGAGGCAGAGATATTCTTAGATGGGCTAAGGAGAAAGGGTCAGATGCCGGATTTCAGGATCCAGGGGTCATTCAGGTCCCGGAACTGCCTCATCAGGACGGCCACTGGAGAAGTGGCGGCCAAGATTGCTAGGAAGAGAATAAGCACCAGCGTTTTGTTGAGCGATGATGTTTTCAGCATGGTGGTGCAGCCTGGATATGATACTGAGCTTATTATGGCTTTTGTGGTTGTTTTGGACCGTATCTGTGCCAGATCATTTACCCAAATTTTGTGTTCCTAAGTTGATACCCATTTTTGTCTCCAAAAGAGAAAAGCCGATTAAAAAAAAAAAAGACACAAACTGATACTCTACGTTTTTTTGTACAGAATTAAAGGAAGAAAGTTACATGTTCTCAAATTTTCTCTTACGCTCCTTGAAACAATCAGTTTACAGAAAAGATTGAAAAATCAGAACATCCTAAATATATATAACTTATATACCCTTATTGAATCAAAGTTAAAAACAAAAAATAAATAAATAAATAAAAACTAAAGATATTTGAACAATTTTACTAACAATCCTGCCATTCTAAATTGAATTGATCATTTCGTTTATAAAATTCTGTTCACAAAATTAGTTGGGGGTCAATTATTGGGCAGGGATCGATAATTAAGAAATTTTCTTTTCAGTTCATATCAACATCAATGGACTGAAATATTAAGAAGCCAGTCTGGACTGAAAACAACAAATTTAACTTCTTTATAACATCCCTATAACATCGTGAGTTTGCCTATTGCCGACAACAGTCTGGACTGAAAAGAACATTTCCCTACCAAATTTAACTTCATCGTAATCACCCTAATAACAAAGATAAACTCGTTTAATTCTACATTATAAAGTTATAAGAGATGCATGGAAAACTTACCGATGACTTTTGGTTGTCATGTCCACTAGAGGAAAGTTGCACAGGCTTCAAAAGAGAAGGGGCACAGAAAAGGGTTAAGACAGAAAATTTGTTTTCTTTACTGATACAATAACGCGGAATACTGAAGATATAGAATCTATTGGTATAGAAAATATATGATGTTACAGATAATTGCAAAAAAGGGCAGTCTAACATTGTCAGCTCAACCTCTTTTCCTCTTTTCTACAAAATACTGGATCAGAATCCAGCAAACTAATCTTAAGAAATAGAAATCAGATATGCAAAATAACAAGACTAACTCAGGAATTGCATGTGAACTAGAAAAATGGATCACAAACACATGCAATCACCCATCCTGTTGGCTCATTTGTGTAGTTAGTACTAAAGTATTCCATCCTACTACATATAAAATAGGCACCCTAAACGGCTAACCAAGCATGTGCCATGGGTAAATCAATCACCAGAAACGAATGTCTTAGCTTCATAATACTTTCTTTCACTTGCAGATTTCTTCTCATTACGTTTCTGCACAGGAAAAGGAAATCATATTAGAATTGAATTTTGAAATCCCCAGATAGAAATATAAATGTCTGTTAGACACCATATGACAACTAAGCTACCATAGACTGCTTGAAGATGTTAATCTGGTGTCAATTTCATTGCATTTTAGAAACAGATTAAATCCACTTAGATTATGATTAAAATGCTCATCATTCAATTCTTGCTAAATTTGGGCATTGGGGAAGGGCCCAGCTTTTAATCAGAGGTAGCATGGTTTTGAAGTGAACCTCATATGCTTCATGGTTTGCTACAATCCTCCTGATTATTGTGGTAGTAGTGATGTCCAGAGGACTTTCTAAAACTTTGAAGATTCCCATACCAATTGGAACAGCATATGGATTTCCTTCTTCCTGTAGAAGATTATTAAAAAAAAAAAAATGGAGAGAGAGAGAAAGGAAAGAAAAAAATTAAACCACACAGAAATAAAGATTGCTATAGTGATCAATTAAATAATTTACCTTGCGAAAATCATCACCTTCAGCAACCGTTCCATGGACAACTAATGAGATATTAAAGGTTGTGATCTGCAGTTGCAAGATTGTCAACTAAGCCTTTAGGAAAAATATAAACACAAAGTAACAAATATAATCACATACTACAAAAATATATATATATATATACACACATATATATAATCAGTATTATCAGAGTGTTTTTAAGAGTGATTGGCAAACTCATGAAAACTAACAAACACAATATAAAAGGGCCATAACAGAGAAAAAATTTGCTTCCCATGATACACTGAGATGTTTATGTAATTTCAGCATCATAGAAGCACAAGGAACATTATCTAAGCGGGTTTTACTCATAATTTCCACATACAAGTGGACTGCTATAATCTCAAAAGTGGGAACAAGATTGTTACTGATTTATATGGCCAGAATAGGAAAATTTAATCAACTTCAATTGAGCTGCTAAGTTTAGAATTAAAACGGCAAGTTAGTGCTAACTAAAAAGGGAGCTAATTAAGTCATAAATTGGGTGGCATCAAGTCATAAATAGGTAAAGAGATAGGTAAAGAGTCAAGAATAGAGAAAGAAAAGGAACCAAAATAAATGACCAACAATGCAAGTGGCTAGCTTTTCAGTCATTTAGATAAACAGGACGCAAACACATAAGGGAGAGCTAAGAGTTTCTTCAAATGGCAGTGGCTTGGCCCACAGTTCCTTATTATGGTCTCACAACAGGATTTGAGCCTAAATTGCATTTAAGCATAAATTAATTTCTGCTTTCTAATGCACTTTGATATCAATACCACTCAGAAATCCAAATCTATAAACCAGAAGAGAATGCATTCACTGGAATTTCATGCAACACTTCAGCATATTAGTCCCTTTGTCTCTTCCTTTTTTTTTTCTTCTTTATTTTCTGGCGCTTCACTGTTTTTAGGTTGTGTCTGGGATTGGCATGGAGTGCTGTTGCTGTGGCTGTTGCTTTTCCAGTATTCTACTATGAGAAATTATGTTATTGTTTCATAATTGCTTTGAAAAAAGTCTTCTACATTAATATGACCACTAAATTATACAAAACATCAATTAAAATTAATTTAATCATAATAAATTAATACTTTTATAAGGTGTCATGTGAAAAAGTGTAGTGGGAAAGCAAACCCAAATGCAACCATAGTCTCAATGTCAACAATCTGTATTCTTGCACCACAGAAGAAAAAGGTAAGAAAAATAGAACATAAGAGATTCAAAGTTTATATTCTCTCCCACTAATATAATAATTGCTTTTGCATTGCTTTTCATTTTTTTCAATCATTTGGCACATAACCACTCATAGGTATTTCTCAACATTTGAAAGGAGCTCATATAGCTTGAATAAAGGGTTTCAAAATTTTCATCTATAATTCTATATCCCTTTATTTCTCTTTCTTTTATGGATTTATATGTTAACAGACAGACACACAAAAATAAAAATAAAAATAAAAGAACATTTTAAGCCTGGCAACTACATTGCAAAATAATATGCAATCTCAACTAATACCCAACCTACCCCATCTCATCTCCAAGAAAAGTTACTGGCCTTTCCCTCAACATTTTCTGGCAGTTTGATGGTATCTTTTAAAGCTTTTTTATTTTATCATCCTTAATATCATGAAAAAATTTCAATAAACAGCTGATACCACAAGATCAAATGAACCTTGAAGACATAACAACAAAGAAGAAGAAGAAGAAGAAGAAGAAAGTAGACCTAAGAGAACAGAACACTACCAGAAAAAGTACTAACCATATCTCTTGACACTTCCCATGGAGCACCAATTATCACCTCATCTACATAGCGACAAGCCAAAACACTTAAGCTTCTTTCATGAAGATTCATGATTGGTCGATGTACTCCTCTTTTAGCACTGCAAAGCCAGTATACATTCAACAATTAAAAGTTTCAATGCAGTATATAAGGAAAGAAAGGATATCAAACAGTTATCCAACTAATCAAAATGTTCAAGCTTTATCCAAGCAAATAAAAAACTTAAACTGCAGTTAATTCTATGAAGCCATAGAAACAAAGTTTTGATCAGCAATAAAATCATTAGGCTGAAAAATTCAAGGTTCTATAAAAGAATGAATATGGAAATTTAGTTGCAAAGCAGTAGGTAAGAGCCACATTAACTTACATATTTCTTAACCAGACCCCCCAGGCTCCAGCCCCCAAAATTTTGGCTAGCAGGCCCAAAGGGCTTTTGCCAACACACTCGAACAAGTCACCACATAATTTTGTGTAAAACTAAACTTAAAGCAAACTGGGGACAGTAATTAATTAATGCAGGTTTGGCAGAGCTTATTAGCAAACTTGCTTGTAAGCAAAAGTAGTCTCTAATTTGAAAAATTGTTGGAGGGAACTTTGACTTTACCTTCCTAAAGTGACTTATAAGCAAGTTTTAAGGAAGCTAGGGCCACTAGCTTCCTCAGAACTTACTTGTAAGCCACTTTAAAAGAAAAATTCAAGTTTTCCCTCCAATAAATTTGAAAATTTCGGAGACAATTTACTTATAAGCAAGTTTGCTAATATACTGCCAAACATTCCCTTAAGCTCTAGATCAGTAAGTCCAATACCCATGTTAAGACTACTTAACCTAAAAGCTGAAACTTCTACAGTTCCAAAATTCCAAATGCCTGACATATTTCTTAACATTCATAAAGGAACAAGCTCATTATGTCTCTTCTAAAATATTACAGAAAAATGATGCTTACTATGAAAGGCTTTTGTGGCAACTATACAAACCACTCAGTTTAAACCCATGTTAGCTTAGGTAGTTTTAAAATACAATTTACAAATGCTTGAACTAAACATAAGACAAATTATGGAGGTCTCTTGAAGTCCCAATTGTAGTGGTTGTTCCTTTCTGTTCTCTCAAATATGACTTCTAACAGTTAGATAAATTAGCCAGTCCCATCTAAGAGTCATTTTTTATTCAAAGAATTCTACTTGATTTGAAAGATATTACATGAAGAGTATAACAACATAAAAACTCTATTTATTCCAAATAATTTCCCCAACTCTTCTGAATAAGAAATTGACCTTTAGCATGGTTAAATTTCAAAAGCAACACACACTAAAATTTAATATGCCACAGTACTTCCTTGCAAATCATAATATCTTCCCAAATAACAAAGCAGGAAACATGTGAAACTTCAACATTTTAATATTCTGGGATTCAACCCAATTAAAGAGGTTTTCTCTTTTTTGGGTGGTCGAAGAGGGGAGGAAAACCTACTAGTTAGCCTTTCTAGTATGGTTGCATACATGCACCGTGATAATTTAATTTTTAAAAGCAATTACACTTGTAACCCTCTCCCAAAATACCATCTATATAAACTATGCGAGAATCGGGTTAAGAAAATAAATGGGATAAGCAGCTACCTGATAGTCTGATCATTGTGTAACCCAACAAGAAGGAAGTCTCCAAGTCCCCGAGCAACCCTCAGAATCTAAATGATGCAAAAAGTTAGAGAAAATATCTTTTCTTTTCTTTCCCTTGTTGTTGTTGGGACTTGGGAGCAGGGATTGGGCAGGGATGAAAAAGGTGTGTCTTCTTAAATCTGTGATATCATCTTTCCTTTTCCATCAGACAAATGCATCCATTCAACTAAACCACAAGTTATTTCAACTTTGCAGAGAACTTTTCACCAAATCTAAAATTAGGAAAAGATTGCAAATGATACCTCAACATGTCCAGCATGGAAAAGATCAAATGCACCATCTATATAAACTATGCGAGAATCAGGTCCAGGCCCCTGCAACCACAAGTATTTGTTTGAAATCACGATTACAAGAAAACAAAAACATGTCCCTAGAAAGGGTGCAAAATATGGAGAATCATGGGGTAGCTAAAGGATTGTGGAGGGAAAAGAAAATCTTAAAAAGTCAAAAGACAAGTGAGGGCAGATAAGGAAGAAATGACACTGATAATGGCTGATATTGAAAGATGAACATATGTTCATAAGTTGTTCTCTTATAACAGAAAGTAATATAGATTTTAAATTAATTACTAAGCTTTGTCCTGAAACATAGATTAATCTCCCCAAGCAATTGTTCCAGTACTGATTCAATGCAACAAAGCCTTCAACACAATATCCTAAACATAACCAATTTACCTCTCCTTAAGGATTCAGATTGGTGTGTGGATCTTTTTTTTATTATTAAAAAAAAAGAAAAGAAAGAAAAAAAAAAAAAAAAAGAAATCTTCTGCAGGGGATTACTTGGTTTTTCCAGAATGTGGTTCAAACCAAACTTAAATCCAAATGCCAACCTCTAAATTAGTGATATCATCATTGAGTTCATCAGGGATCAGTAGTAGAGTGCAACCAAACATGCACTCCATCAAGAGCACTACTCATATTGGTAAGAGGAAAGGAAGATATCATTATCAAGCATACAAAATGCAATGACAATATAAGTTCATCCCCAACAAAATGAATTCACAATAATTCAATATATAAGTAGCTTTAAAAAACGGAAATGAAAGAAGATATCAGGCATCACAAAATTAGTTTGAACTGCTCTCATAAAAGCATAAAAAAGTTTCTGAATAAATTTTTGTACTTGTTTACAACAAAAAACATAGCAGTGTGAGGTAAACTGCATGAAATTTGATGGTCAAATTACCTAAAAAAGAGAACCTATATCTCTTAGAAGTTCAACTTGCAATTACAATCAAAAGCCATGAAAGCTTTGAGGTTAGAAGGACTGATGTTCTTTATCTATAAAAAGGTTCCCAAGTGTAAAACTTGATTTTCCAAAATGTTTCGCAATGGATTGAATGGAATCAAATGAAATGAAAGCTTGAAATAGAAATTGCCAGCAAAACAACAAGAAATAACCAGCAAGCAGATTGCTTAAGTGTACCTTCCCATTGGAAAATTGAACAATTCTGCGAGAGGTAGGTAGAAAATGAGATATGCGGGTTATGCTTCCAGACCCACCATCTTCCAATTTCTGGCCATGCCCATGGCTAAATTGTCTTTGCAAGGAAGAATGATTGTTTGTATCATTAACTGATCTCTCTCTTACACAGAGAAGCATCCGACCTGTTCAAAGTCAGTAATAAGACACTCAAACACAAGAAACACACATGAAGCGTTTCAAGTATAAGATACAATGCAACTGGTTACCACTTTAGACACTGATTTGAAATACATAATTTGAACAAAGATTTGCATGTGTAGCGCACTAAACAAAAAGGGAATGTTAAAAAAAAAAAGGAAATGGGCATATAAAAATGTCATAATCACTATACGAACTTTAAAAAGAAAGCATCTATGATTGAAGGTCAAATCAACAGATCAAAACAGCATGAACATGATAATATAAGTCATTCCATCATCCGAAATGAACTAAATTTGACAAGCACTGATATACCATGCGAGATTATTGTTCAAAAGAAAATAAATATAGAATAAATATTTATCAAGGAAAGTCGGATAAAAGCATGGTGACGCTCACCAACAATATCGGTGCTAGAAACCCCTTCTGTGCGCTTAATCTGCTTGTAACGACCGGCCTTCTTAGCAAGTTCATAAGCATCAGTGCCATCAGGAAGAACGCAGGGGTCGTCGCCGTGAATGATGTAGTCGATGTTATATTCATTGAAAAGCTTCTTCATGAAATCTTCCGTGATTGCATACGGCGCATCACAAATTACCTCGTCGACCCACTTGACCGCCCTCACCATAATCATCCTAAACCCCAAATTGAATCCAATTCAGTAATTGATCGAGATTCAAACTCGGTGAAACAGGGAGATCACGTACCTCTCGTGAAGAGGAGTCACCGGCGGGCCTTTATTAGCAATGATCTCCGCATCGCTTACAACCCCAACCACCAGTTGGTCGCCGAGAGCCCGTGCTTGACGGAGAGCGTTGCAGTGTCCGTAATGCATCATATCAAAACAGCCATCCATATAAACCCGCACAATCTTCTTCTTCCTCCTAATTCTCCCCAAAAGAGATAGTCCCAACCCCAACCCAAACGGCACACCATTTTTCGCGACGCCGAGGTAGAATCCAAGAGCCACCGCCACCGCCACAGCGCCGCCTATTAATTGCCTTGCCGGTACGTTGTTCATGGCTGGAAATTAGCCGTGGATGTAGCGTATTTCCTCCAAATTTATTCCAATTCTGAGGTCCAATTGCTCATTCCAGAATTGCCAGTGCTTTCTGGATTGGGAATTTTGCTAGGGTTTCTTTAGGAATCAGAATAATAAATTTTTTTACGCCACCCAGATTTGGTCTGCAACATATCTGACCATTGATTTCAGTTTCTCGTCAGTGTTACAGCCTCTCTATTTTTTTATTATGAGAATAATTTTTAAAGAATCTTGAATAATAAATTTAAAAAGTGATCTAAACTTTTTAAATTACTTTAAAAATTGTCTTGATTCTTTTGAGAATAATGATAGCAATCGGAAATCATAATTGCCGGATTTGATTTTAAATTCTTTCGACTAGAATTGAACTGAGTTAATGTTAAAATATTTGATTTTTGATTGTTAGTTTTAAAAATTAAAGGTTAATAATTTAAATAATTTAATGATAAATTATTTTTGTTAAAAAAAATTGAGTTTAAATTATACGTATGTAAGTGAGATAGAATAAAAAATAAAAAAAATAATATTTTTTATTATGTAATTAAAATAAAAAAATTAAAAAAGTAATAATTAAAATCAGCATAATTAAAAAAATTGATTAAAAAATTAAAGTTTTTTAATAATTTTTAAAATTTTTAAGTTTTTAATTATTTTTTATTAAACTATTTATTTATTTAAATATTTTTAATTTTTTTAATAATTGACATAAATCAAATAACAACTGAAATTTAAAAAATATATTTTAATTTTTTTACGTAAATAAAAAATATATTTTTGTTAAGTCAAATTGATTGGTTATCTATAACTGAACACTAAAACCAAACTTTTCAATTTTCTTAATGGTTTTAAAAACTTAGTAATAAAAAATGTAAATAATTAATATTTTAGTTTCAATAGTAACCATAATAAAATCATATCATTTTAAGATTAATTTTTAGCACCAATATTTAAAATAAATTTATAATAATTATTGACTATAGTATAAATTTCATATAAACTTACATCGTCAATGCTTAAAAAATTTTCGTCCTAAATTTTGATTCTAAAGATCATTACTCTTCTTTTAAACCTTTCAAAGCGAAAGCAACATTGTCATTGAATTATTAAATAGTCCATGCAGGATCAAAATGGAACCGAAACCGAGTCATCAATTTTTATGGGTTGAATAATTTTCAAGCCGAACAGTTAAGACCAAACTGAATTTCTTTGCGGATGTTGGTTTCAGCTTTAACCAAGTTCAAAGCTTATTTTGGGCTTCTTTTTTTTTTTAATTTTGGCTTAATGTTAAACTTGAGCTCTGAAACTTTGCCTCAATGCACTTATTTTAGTTTTCATATAATTTTTTATATTTTTTTAATTTTCTAACTAAAATATTATACATTTTTATCTTTTTTTGTCAATAAAAGTATATATTTGTCATTGCACCTGCCTTAAAACCTAATGGCATTAGCTATCGATTAATTTTCTAACTAAAATATTATACATTTTTATCTTTTTTTGTCAATAAAAGTATATATTTGTCATTGTACCTGCCTTAAAACCTAATGGCATTAGCTATCGATACATTCTCCTCGCAGGTTCGAAACCCCGCTCTTTGCAAA